ATTTGTTCTACTGAGTAGGAATAGGGCTGGCAATAACTGTGTCCCATTAAAGATGTTTATTCCGTTAGCATCTCTGTGGAATTTGAGCCGTCTGATGTTGACGATGTGGGCTCAAAGGTACTCTTTCTGTTTGCCTGTTATGCACAGCTTAATTCTTTCAGACCCAATCATTTTGTATTTCCAACTTTTTAATGAAGCTATTGCAGTAACTGTAACTGGCATGTTATTAATTGTCATGTATCCAGTAGCTTAATGGCATATGTCACAAAAGTTGCTAGGAGTTGCAGCTGTTTACAATCTTGTAAGGAGGCAAAAATTTCTCCCCAAGCTCATGCAGAAAAGCTGGAACAACTTTCGTTATTACAAAAAAGAGTACTATAAAAGATTTAGAATGCTTATTGGAGCTATCCATTGCATCATTCTCTCTGCTTATGAAGTTTGTGCTGTGAGTGTGATTGCTTATGTCACTGAAACAGCACCACCCACACAAAAGAGGGAATAGTAGTAATACTAAAGTGGTACCTTGGTTCTTGGACGAAATCTGTTCTGGAAGCCCGTTCGGCTTCTGAAACTTTTGAAAACTAAGGTGCGGCTTCCCATTGGTTGCAAGAGCTTCTTGCACTCAGCGGAAGCCATGTTGCACATTCGAGTTCTGAAAAACGTTCGAAAACAGAAGCATTTACTCCTGGGTGTCTGGCTTTCGGGAACCGAAAAGTACGACATCAGAGTTGTTCAGGAACTGAGGTTCCACCCTAGTAATAGTATACCACCCTTCATCCATAGATCTCAGACCCTCCAAGTGTCCCTATTTTCCAGGGACATTCCTGATTTAGAGAAGCCATCCCGGTTTCTGATTTGATCCCAGAATGTCCCACTTTTCCTTAGGATGTCCCTATTTTCATTGGGAAAATGTTGGAAGTTATCTGACCCCGCAAACTGCCTGAAGGCAATCCTTTATAGGGAAGGGCTTTTAAAATGTTTTATTATGTTTTTATATATGTTGGAAGCTTCCCAGAGTGGCTGGGGCAACCCAGTAAGATGTGTGGGCCATAAATAGTCAAATTATCATTATGGAATGGGACGCCCCTATTTTCATCGGAGAAATATTGGAGGGTTATGAGATCTCAGGGCAGTTCACAACACATTCAGGCTTGGCAGAACCTCAAGGTTTGTGGAAATACCTTCAGGGGGATAGATTCAAAATAGCTCAGTGAGGATGGAGCCACAGAATGCTGACAGATTGTTGGAAGGACAAAGGAAAACCAGGCTAGCAATACTTCTGCTGGGAACTCCTCACTCAGGCCTAGTTGTTTAGTAGCCGCTGTCAAAATTGTAGTTGCAAACTGATAGCACATTGGATTTTGATAATAGCAGCATCCTAATCCCACTTCCGCACTGAGTGGATGTGAATACCCAGGAAAGCAATCTTAAAGTCATAGTTAGAAGCTCGTTGAAAGTTGGGAACTGTGCCACAGTGTGTGTGTGTGTGTGTGTGCGCGCGCGCGTGCGTGTGCGCGCACACACACAAAGAAGAGCAGATTCAGTGTTATTGGGAAGGGAATTGAAAACCAGGCAGCAAGTATTATAACAACATGGTATTAATTTTGGTGTAGCTGCTGTTAGACTGTGTATGGTTCTGCTTGCCTTATTTCAAAAAGAGGATGTTCTAGAGCATGGGAAAGCAGAGAAAATGGCAACAGGAATATTCAAAGGGTTGGTGAATATTCCATTTGAGGAAAGACTAAAGATGAGCGTGATTTTGCATGTGGTGTATATAAAATCATGAATGGCATGGAAAGAAAGAGGCCAGAACTTTCTGGAGGTTGCCTAAACGACTGAAATATGAAATGACACCTTTAATTTGCAGAACAGTTGGAGATCACGGTAGTCATTGCTGCTTTTCACCCAATAGGAATCAGATAGCTATGAGTCTATGCCACGAGAAGGGGCGGGAGAGAGGGCAAAATCTGAGATTTCTTAACAAGCTGAGATCAGGATAGATTTGCAAACTCTTTTTGATGGCTGCCTTGTACTGTTAGCTTGTGCTGTAACATTCTAATTGTGGGCCTGTTGCCCTTGACGTGTTGTTTTCTGGGGAAGACTTTTTGAAAAGAAAGAAAGATTAAAACCATCCTGTCCCTTAGTCATGTAGCATGACTCATTGCTATCCATTGCGGTGACTTGTACATTTCCTATTGTTCGTTCCTCAAACTAATATTCCCTCTTGTCTTTTGCAGCAAAGTGTATGCAAAGGAGACCAAACCAAAGATGACACACTGAACGGCTAAAATGAAACAGAAAACCTAAGAGGATAAAATACATTGTCAATCAGAGCACGAAAGATCTTGGCTTAAAGGACCAGAATTGATACTTTTGTGAAATCAATAATCCACCAAGTGTAAACTGTGCACTTTTGCCTTCCTCTGCCGTGGAGTTAATATCCAAATCGATGGTATCCAAAGGCAATTCAAAACCCAATAATAAAAAAACATGGGCATCTCGTCGGGAGGAGATTATCTCACATGTACGAGAAAGTTAATTTCCTTGCCATGCAAAAAGCAGGAGAGCTGGTGGGAATCAAATTGAGAAGAGCTTGCTCATTATTGCCTTTTCAAAAGCTTTCCCCTCTCTAATAGAAAAGTTTGTAACAGAGCTATAAAACAATGGCGCCTGTGGAAGTTTTCAGGGCAAATCACAAACCCATAAGAAGGAAGACTACAACCTGTGTCCACATTATGTCAGTTGTAGCTGAGAATTACTGCCTGCCTGGTAAATTCTCATTTGGATCTAGTGAGGTTTTTCAATGTAATCTTAAGGAAAGGCCTAAAGAGAAGAAGAAAAACAAGTACCATATAGAAATCAAAAGATCTAATACAGTCGTACCTTTTTTCTCAAACGCCTTGATACTCAGACGTTTTGGCTCCCGAATGCCAAAAACTCTGAAGTAAGTGTTCCGGATTTCGAACGAATGTCTGATGCGGCTACTGATTGAGTGCAGGAAGCTCTAGCAGCCAATCAGAAGCCTTGGTTTTCGATTGGTTTCATGAGTCGAACAGGATCCTGGAACGGGTTAAGTTTGAGAACCAAGGTTGCACTGTATAATGTACAATACTGAAAAGTGCTGACTGCACAAGTGTTGCAGCTTGAAAAAGAGCTTTTCTGAGTGGGGAGAAAGAATTGAGCAACTTTTGAATTATTGTTTTTTAATCTTTCTGTCAAAAAAATACATCATCCAATTTGCAAAATGAATATATTTTCCAAACAGATGCAGATGAGGCTGTTTGCATGTTATTCAAACTGATAAACTGGTTTCTTTTCTGCTTTGTGGGATATCATATACCTGTATATTTGAAGGAAGGGTCTAGATGAAAGCCATGCCATTGTGCAATGCTAACTATTTTATCTGAGCAACCTGTTTCAGGTATGAATCCAGATGTGAATCACCTGAGATATGCAGATGAACCTGAATGCAACCATGGTAAGAGTTTGGTAGTTCCCGCCTCCCCTCTTTTCCCAAGCTCTTCTATGCTTTTTCCATCCAATGCTATTTGTGTGTGTGTGAAAGAGCGTGTTTTTACAAAAACAATACATTACTAGCATTACCACTATTAAGGCTAAAGAAGCTCTCAAGGCTTACATTCTGCAAACGATCACACCATGAGTGCAAAACACAGCTGGAGTATATATAATGAGAAACTTTATTGTGTACCCAAATAACCATGTTGCCAACACGGGGAAGGAAAAGATAACAACCCCAGAAGACAGGGGATATTTATATCAACTTAATGAGGCCCCACTCAAACCCAGCTGTGAACATGTGATGAATCCACACACCCTCTGGGCACAAAAGGAAAGAGAGTATCCTGCGTTGACTTTAATTTGCACATACACTGACGTGAACTGCATTGCGTTTTCTTATTGTTTTCTATCTAGCGTTGTATTTGCTGAGCTGATTAACACCAAACATAGAGGTCATTACAGGCAACTAAACTCAGTCACGGTAGCTTTGGTCATCTGTATTGTTCTACCAACCATCCAAGGTCAGGTAAAGGTAAAGGATCCCTGGACTGTTAAGTCCAGTCAAAGGCGACTATGGGGTTGTGGCGCTCATCTCACTTTCATGCTGAGAGAGCTGCCATTTGTCCACAGACAGCTTTCCGGGTCATGACTAAACCGCTTCTGGCATAATGGAACACCGTGATGGAAACCAGAGCGCATGCAAACACCGTTTACCTTCCTGCCGGAGCGATACTTATTTATCTACTTGCACTGGCATGCTTTTGAACTGCGAGGTTGGCAGGAGCTGGGACAGAGCAATGGGAGCTCACTCCGTCATGGGGATTTCAACCGCTGACCTTCTGATCGGCAAGCCCAAGAGGCTCAGTGGTTTAGACCACAGCACCACCCTCACCCAACCATCCAAACCTGTTAGTGGTAACATAGTCAGAAGCAGGAAGGGGAGAGAAATTTGTTTAACGGCTGAACCTATGTAATTCACTCTTTCTAAAACAATACGTGAAATTAAACATAACCATCCTTCGTAATTCACACTTCTCAGATTTTTGCAATGCAGCTCTCCAGCCAAGTATCATGTGCAAAAATGCATTTACTAGGGTAGAATGTGCATGAAATATGCATATACTATAGTGAATGGATGGGAAACAGAAATGCGATGTGTTAGGGAAAATAAGCTTTGCAAAAAAATATTTTGTTAGGCAAAATGGCATACAAAAATGTGTATTTCAGGAGTCATTCAGTTGAATGTCTCAGGTCTTCAAGTGAGTTCCCTGTCCCTGAGACCTGCTAAGACTGTAAACTGGATAGTTGGTACTGGATAATTGATATTATAGAGTCAGCTAAATAATCTCCGCGGACCATCATAGGAAGATAAGAAGCTGTCTTATGTTGAGTCAGACCATTGTTCTATCTAGCTCAGTGTTGTCTTCACTGATTGGCAAAAGGGCTTGCAGAGTTTCAAGCCAATCTCCCCCAGACCTACCCAGAGATGCCAGGGGTTGAACGCAGGAGCTTCAGCATGCAAAGCAGATTCTCTGCCACTGAGTTAAAACCCTTCCCCAATGGGAAACCATCCCGCTCCATTAGCATTTGAGAAGGGCCACTCTAAGGCCCTCCCACAGCTGTGGAGATCAGAGCGAGTGAGGACAGTTAACATCGCTCTGGGTGTTGGGATTCACAGAATGCTGTGTGAGATAGTAAGTCTGCAGGCTTGAGGTTGCTAGCTGATGCAACTGGCTGATGCAACCAGCCTGCAATACTTTCTATGGAAGTGCTGGGTCAGAAAGACCCAGTAATGTGCGGTCAGTTGATTGGCTGTCATCAGTTTAAAAGGGAAACCTGTCCAGCAGTAACGGTGTGGTGTAGAGAAGTGTGGTCAGAGAGAGAGAGATAGAAAGGTCTTCCTATTTGCCTTAAGGTGCAGCCTGGTACTCTGTTTGACTGTATGAACTGCTCGTGTATTATAGCCTGAAGATATTTGTATATATAAGGTAAAGGGACCCCTGACCATTAGGTACAGTCGTGACCGACTCTGGGGTTGTGGCGCTCATCTCACTTTATTGGCTGAGGGAGCCGGCGTACAGCTTCCGGGTCATATGGCCAGCATGACTAAGCTGCTTCTGGCGAACTAGAGCAGCGCACAGAAACGCCGTTTACCTTCCCGCTGGAAGGTGTTTATCTACTTCCACTTTGATGTGCTTTTGAACTGCTAGGTTGGCAGGAGCTGGGACCGAGCAATGGGAGCTCACCCCATCATGGGGATTTGAACCCCCGACCTTCTGATCGGCAAGTCCTAGGCTCTGTGGTTTAACCCACAGCGCCACCCGCGTCCCTATATTTGTATATATAGCTCACAATAAATATACTGCACTGAAGAACCTGGAACTCTGAGCATTTCTGGTAAAGCGCCATGGAGAATTCACGACACTAGGTAATGTTATTTTAAGCATCTGCCAAATTTCTAGGTGTTTTGGTTGCCATTTCCGTAGAGAAGGCTCCGTAGAAGGCTCACTTTGCTTTCTTGTCTCTTGGTAGCTTGGTAGGAGAGCAGTGTATAAGCCCATCCTTGCTAAGCATAAGCCTAGTGAGATGAGTGTTCCACGCTCAAAGTTTGTCATTTGTGCCCCAAAAGTACACTTACTAGTGCTAGAAAATCGCAAAATGCATCAGAGGAGATACGAAGCTAAATGTACCGGAAATGAAGGAAGAGTCATTCTTCATGGAAGCGCTGTATACAATTGACATCAGACCATCCAAACGCAATTGCCTTAAAATGACTGCTTCAGTCTTCAGGGCATTGAAAGAAACAGGACTATATTACTTCTTTGCTATTTCTGTCTATGAAAAGGGAGCAGATGTATCTACGTAGCTGCGAATGTGTTTCATTAAAAAAAAGGAAGAAGCTAAAAACTGTTGGATCAGCATTTGATATGCCAAGGTAGCTGTGGAATAAGTCCAACAATATCAGTTTTATCCCCCCCCCAACACACACTGTTTTACTGGTAAAGTGGAAGAGAGGGAGAATAAACTGATTCTCACCACTAAGCAGAAGCAAACGGCCTAGGAGGCTGATGGCACTCATCTAACCTTCTGACAATGGAGTCACTGCTGCTTACTGGGCAGAAGAAGGATGAAGAGGTTTGTGAAGTCCATTCAGCAGTCCTGCTGGTGTGTTTGCACCATGCTAACCTCCCTGCTGCCTAGCTCCTCTCCTTCCTAATAAGCAGCAGTGACTCAGCTGTTGGGAGGTCAGATGAGTGCCACCACCCCACCAATCCACCTGCTACTAAGACCTGGTGGTTTGCCATCTAATTTATGTGTAACTCTTAACTTAAAGAACACAGAACTTTATTGGGTTAGCATCCTCAAGCTCTCTCTCTCTCTCTCTCTCTCTCTCTCTCTCTCTCTCTCTGTGTGTGTGTGTGTGTGCTGCAATTCTTGCTCTGAGCAACTGTGCCTGTGAAAAAGTTCATTGTAACTTGAAAGTCTGCTTCCTGTATTTTGAACATTGGCTGGACAAATCTTATTTTATTTGTGCTTTGAGCAGGAGTCAGTGGGGCTGCATCGTGGGAGAAAGTAAGAGAGAAATGAGCTTATCAATGCTCTGTGGACTCCTTGTGTGGCCTTTGACCACCCAGCAGACTGGCCCAAGAGAGTGGCAGGAAGGAAAGCTGATCTTGCACCGCAGATGGACTTGTGAGGGGCTGGGGGCTGGGGAAAGGACATGCATGTTATGGCCCTATGCAAGCAGTGTTGTGACTTCACAGACAGCCACACAGGGATGGTCACCTTCCCGCTTCCCTCTACCAGCTGCAGATGTCTTCGGCAAATCATTATTTCACAGTCTGAGTTGTGTGTAAAGGGGATAAAAAGAACTTGCCTTACATAGTTATTGTGAATGTCAAGCTGGCCCACATCATGGTGGCTAAGAACCAAACTCCACATGACATTAGACATTGTATTGGCCTGAATATAAGCCTCACTTTTTGCCCAAATTCTGACCGTGAAAAGTTAAAGTGTGACCTTACAAAAAGCTTTTACGATATTGCTGCTGAAACAGACATACAGTAAAACAGCACGGGTGTGAGTGCCTGAGGAATTTTAAGGTAGCGGCTTATATTCTGGTATTGTCTCTCTTTTTTTCTTCCCTTGAATTTTAAAGGTGTGGCTTATATTCGGGTGCAGCTTATATTCAGGCCAATATGGTACATCATCTGGAGCCACATGAAACTTTGGAAAGTGGTAAATTAAACAAATAACAGTAAGGTGGGATCTACCATCTAGTGGAAAATATCCTGGTTTGGGGCAAGGTGCTTGTGAATGTGCCCGTTGTCCAGCTTTAGGTAGGCTTGGAGAAAGCTGATTACTTAAATCCATCACAGTTTGGCCAAGGGACTCCAGAGCCATTTTCAGAAAGTAGTTATGGGATGTCACTGTGAAAGCTGTCCAGTGGTGTTCCACAGGGTTCCATCTTCTCCCTCATGATATTTAACATCTGTATGAAACCACTGGGAGCTGTCGTCAGGGGACTCGGAGTAAGGTGTCACCAATATGCAGATGGCACCCAGTTCTGTCTCTCTGTTCCATCTGAACCAGACTTCAGCTCCCAAGGTCACTGCTGCCATCTCATTGAGTTTCTACCATTTGTTAAACATCCACCAGATAAGAAGGGGTGTCTCCAAAATAGGAGCAGGCTAACCCTACTCCTATTCATTGCATAGGAGGAGGAGAAAGACTAGTAATCAGAGGATAAGTATCTTTGAAAGCAAGTTGGGCCCATGGTTATTTTAATGGACTTCCAGAGCTTCTTTCTTTCTTTCTTTCTTTCTTTCTTTCTTTCTTTCTTTCTTTCTTCCTTCCTTCCTTCCTTCCTTCCTTCCTTCCTTCCTTCCTTCCTTCCTTCCTTATTTGTGTATATATGTGTATTAATTGAGGCACATATAATTTTACAAGGCAGTATAATTGCAAGACCACTCTTTCTGCAAAGGAGAAATGCCCAAATAATTCTGTTAAGGCTGTTGTGTATAATCAACTACCCCAGCAAAGGGTCTGTGATTATCTCTTGGCTTTGAAACCTGTGCAATGTCAATTAAAAAAACTTTCCGCTCTGTAATGTCGAGCCAACAAAAGTCCCTGTAGGTGCACAGGACCGAAGAAAGAGATCTTTGTACTGCAAAGATACTGTATAACACACACTTCACATCGCCTGGGTGTCAGCAGGAATCACCATTGAAGCATTATTGTTTGCAGGCTTCCCGGAGTAATTCCAGTGTTGTGGCTAGCTGACAGAGGCGGCTGGCTCACTTCTTGTGCAGAATAAACAGCAAGAAGCCTCCAGGGCATCTTCTTCTCCCTTCAGCATCTTTTTTCCCTTCAGATACTGTTCATTCTCCTGTGGAACAACGGTAATCACTGCTCCGACCCCCTGGTAAATGTTTGGGTGAAACAACGTTACTTACATCTGCTGTGCCAAACAGAGCCAAATTAATGTTGTTTGGAAGCAAGACAGGTCACTTGTCCAGCAGGCAGAGCAGAAACACAGAACTATGATAGAGCATTTGCACTCTGCCTAGGGCTTGCCGATCAGAAGGTCAGTGGTTCGAATCCCCACTATGGGGTGAGCTCCCGTTGCTCAGTCCCTGCTCCTGCCAACCCAGCAGTTTGAAAGCACACCAAAAAGCGCAAGTAGATTAAAAGGTATTGCTCCGGTGGGAAGGTAAACAGCTTTTCCGTGTGCTGCTCTGGTTCACCAGAAGCGGCTTAGTCATGCTGGCCACATGACCCGAAGCTGTACGCTGGCTCCCTCAGCCAGTAAAGTGAGATGAACGCTGAAACCCCATAGTCATCTGTGACTAGACCTAATGGTCAGGCGTCCTTTACCTTTACCTTAAGCACTGTTTAGAGAATTCAATGAGGTGTCATCTTTGCTCAGAGACTACCCTGTACGGGCAAGATGAGCATGGGGAGAAGGCAAGAGCTGACACGTGAATACTGTGAATGGGGTAGTGTGGGATTTAACACAAGCAGACAAATACAACATTTCCTGTTTGCCTAGAGTGGACACGCAGGGGAATGTTGATCCAGCCAGTTGAATTTCCCGTTACCCCTGGTCTGGAGCATCCTTCCTTTCCATGTGACCAGGTAATTAGCCGTGACCCTTCCAGACCACACAAAAGGTCCAGTCATGCAGCCCCCTTCTTCTTTTGATGCCTTTTCTTCTCTCGGACTGCACTGCTGGCTCTCAGCCAGCAACATGTGGGATGAGTTCCCATATGGGATGAACTCAAACCCTCTTCTGTAACTCTAAGCTAAAGCCTGCCTTCAGGGATTCGACTGTGAAGTGAATGTGAGTAAACCTCTTGCTACTTTTAAAAGAAGACTGCTGTGTCTTTATTCTTTTAGGAGGGAATCAAAGAGTTCTTACCAGGAATAACAGAACTTAAGCGATTCTAAAGAATCTGCAACTAGCTTCCTGCTGTGTAAAGAGGGGAATGTACTCTGCTGTATGAATAAACTCACTAGCGTGTGTTAGGAAGGATAATATTTTATCAATATA